TGATCTTCGGCACTTGCGAAATCCTTGCTTTCTGCTGCCCGGGCCGGGCTGGGGCAGGGTGGACCCGCATCGGCACCCACACTTATCCTCCGTACAATGACGTGAGGAGATACGAGGATATGGTGTACTCAAGCTCGGAGAATCTATTCTTCTGCCTCACTCAGATTGACTCTGACGATTTGGAGGCATGGGATCTCACAGACCCCACCTCGCCTAGGCTGGTATAGTCGAACCACAAGGACTTGTCGGGCTTTAAAAACTACATTGCTTGGTTGAATGATGTGGAGCATTCACGTTTGTCGGAGACTGACATTTGGACAAGGTCACTTAGATACTTAGTGTATGCAGAGGATTTGCGGCAATTGTTTATTGTCACCCGTCATTTAGTCGAGCAGATGGCCCCGGATGGTTCGTGCGTGGATGACTCAGAACGAGACGGTGAATACCCGTACAAAACGTTGGCTTTTGATGTGCATAAAATCGACCCGGGAGAAGGTGGAGGAGGGAAGTTGAGCTATGTCGATTGGTCGTTGAGTGGGTTGGCAATGTTTGTTGGGCTTAACCACTCGTGCGCGGTGATGGCTACAAACGGTGGGCTGAAGCCCGATTCCATATACTTCACGGATGACAAGGTATTCAACCCGAGAAATTCGAATTACACTGATCAGGAGGAAAAAATGTATGGGGGGCACGATATTGGGGTTTATGATTATGGGAAGAAGACTATCTCGCCTTGCTATTACCCGTGCGATGTCGGGAGCTTGAAAAGGATTATGCCCTCCCCTATTTGGTTTACTCTCTCATCATAATTAATCACTTCTTAGGATTTGTTTAATCTTTTTCAGAAGATTGCCTTTGATGGATATGAAAGTATGAATCTTATATATATATTGTTTTTGTTATGAGTTACTTATAATTCATGCTAATGTTATAATTTCTTATACAATTAGTATTCATGTGAGTGTGTTTGACAGTATAACACTTCTCCATCCTAATGTTTGTTAGGCATATAATCATGTGCATAAATTTTAGGTACTAAGGGAAAAGCAGTGAATTGGTGGGCATATTTCCTTCACTTGTACTGTTGTACTAACTTTATATATGTAAGGGAAGTTTGATATAACTTGTGGAAATGCTACGGTCTCGTTACAGAACCATTGCGTTGGGATTTGTAACCGTTAGATCATCATGTAACCATCGGGGATATTTGATCTAACGGTTACAAACTCCAACTAAATAGTTCTGCAACAGGACCGTAGCATCTCCAGTTATGTAGTTGGAGGCCTTACAAAATAGTATGTATGAGGAAATAGTACTGACCAATAAAGCCCGTGAACTTTACATGAGCTTTTTTTTTTTTTTACTTCATTTTGAATTTGTGTTTAAATTTAGAAATGGGTTGGAGATGCTTTTAAAGGCAAACAATTGCATTCATTCAACAATTATAGTAGTAAGTATAGTGTAGGATTGGACAATTAGTTTGATATGCAAATTAAACGAATTAGTATCATTAAACTTGATAACAGAAGTCTGACACTTGATAGTATAAACAATTAAATATGCATTTTTTTAACATAGTATGATAGATGCACCCGTCGACTTTTCTACTGCACATAAAAACATTGGTTTCAAACTCGGACCGGTCCGACGGGTCGACCCAGTACCCGGTCAATCCGGAGCTAAAACCGGTTTTGGTGTGTTATTTGGACCGGGTAACAACGGACCCGGTCAAACACGGCCAAAACCCGGCCAACCCGGCCTTAACCCGGTCGACCCGGGTCATTGACCCAACTTGGTCAAACCGGTTGACCAGGTCACTATATAATTTTTTAATTTTTTTAGTATTTTTTATATAAAAAATATGTAAATATGTTAATATTGTAAATATTTATTGTGAGATACACTTTGATGTGCATATTTTATATACAAAATATTTATTTTTGTTACTTTTATGTATATTTACATGTCAAAAATACTATATATATAATTTTAAAAAAATTAATATTAACTATCCGGTTCAGCAATTGACTCGGTGACCCGACGGTTGACCCGGTGACCCGGAGACCTGCTCGGGTCGATTTTCGGGCCGAGTTTAAAAACTATGCATAAAAAATTGTGATAATTCGTTGCGCATGTATGTATGATGTCGTAAAATAGATTTTACATAACATATGTATTATTTTTTTTTCAACAATACAAAAAACACATCAAATACATGAACTATTTTTGTCAGTTGATCAATAAAATCACATGTAAAAAGTAAAATACATGAAAGTAGACTAGGGTTGTAGAACCAGCCGATCCAAGCTCGAACCTTGATACTCGAGCTTAGTTTGTTAACTATATATGAGCTAGTAAACATGCTCAAGCTCGACTCATTAATCAATACTAATAAGTTGAACTCAATCATGAACTAGTTGATAGAATTCATGAAATTAGCTAGGTAGAAATTCATGCTCTCGAGTTTTAACCAAACGACGTCAAACTGAGCTTAAGTGTTAACGAGTCAAGCCCAGCTGAGTCGAGACTTAATTCTTTCAAAAGCTCACGGCTTAATTCTGAGCATCAAATTCATTTTAAAAACATGATCACGACATGAAAAAATCGCACCGGCTAAAGAAGCACTCTCCAGTCTCCGCAACACAAATCTATATATATATATTAAAAGCCAACCTATTTACCAAAAATAGTAGCAAAAAAAGTCAACACACATTTAATGCATACTTTATTTGGAAATTTTTTACTATATGCATTAAATGCTTGCATATTTACATTTACTATCTAAATATGATCTTCAAGATATTTTTCTTAAATAATTTATGCAATTATTTTATTGATATCCATTATAATTAATAATTGTCGAGTAATATTTTTTAAACTTTATTTAATCATATAACACTAATATTTTTTTAAAAAATTAATATTATTTATTATTTAAAAAATAATAATCACATCATTAAATGATTTTATTGATGGTTAGATAATAAAATTATATTAGTTATTCTTTAAAATTTCGACATGTTATTTATTTGTATATTATTGTTAACTATGATAGTGTTTTTATCACTTTTTTTGTTATGTTTCAAAAATGAACTTATTGTAAAATATTTTTCTATTGCATAGTATGTTAAATAAACTATAAAGCCTTAGGATGAAAATTAGAAAAAATCTCTTGATTATGTAAGGGATTATTTTTTGGCAATTGCTAAATCATTTTTTTTTAAAAAAGAATTATTATGAGAAAATTGAATTCTAAAAAACATGTGTGTGTATTTTGTAAACATTTATACTCAAAATTTTATTTTGAATTTCATTACATAAAGAAGACTACTTCTATAACTTTTATAAATAATAATAATTACATTATAAGACTATAAATTTTATAATAAAATAATAATTGAGTATTATATGGTGAACAATAATTAATAATTTTTTTTTCCTATATCAATGAATAAATATGTATTCTAAAATCAAATAAATATTAGTATGACGTGTTAGCGGAATTATATATTAATTAACATGTTTATTTTTTGGCTTAAATAAACGCCACTTATTAAAAGATGTGAAATATGGATGATCCAAGCCTATTGTTTTTTTTTTTGTCTAGACGTACAAATCCTATAAAAATAATTGATTTATTATATGTATCACGTGCATCGTACGGGGTATGCACTAATAAATGACCTTAAAATTGTGCACCCGTGCATCACCCGTGTTCACATTTTGGCCTATTACATGTCACGTACTATATATATCCCGTACATTTTTTTATTCATTCATATAATTATAAGAATGGATAAATGACCTTAAAATTGTGCACCCCGTGCATCGCACGGGCTCTGTACTAGTTAAAATCATTCGTGATGATCGGGTTAGTGGTACAAGACCCGATACCCATGTCATAGAAGCGGTTCATATTTTTTAATATGTATATTTTATATTTAATTTAAATATGGATATTTATACATAACAATTAGCTTTTATAGATTGATAATTCCTAATATGAGCATAGCATATCTAATAAGAGGATACTGATAAAAATACATATATATTTATATATAATAATTAGTTATTATTGATTGATAACTCATAAATAAAAATTACATTTTTATTATTTAACTTAAAAAGCGCCTACAGCCCTTGATGCCTGGAACATAAGGTCAATTACACTGATCATTTGAATTCGATCTGTTATATAATTGCTTATATATATAAGCAATTATCTTTTTTCTTTCTACGCTAATATTCTAGAAAGATTGTTTGAATTTATTATCATCTTTTATATATAAATTATATTATAGTGTTTTTATAGTTTTTTAAAAACTATTTTATGAATATTTTAACAACGGTTGGATTGAATTTATTTATTCAAAGTGCTTGTACGATTTTCCATTAAGTTTTTTATATATAATTTTGTTGGATTGTATTGGTTATTTGATATGCATGTCTAATTTGTTTTATTATATTATAGTGTATATATATACTAATAGTCAAATACTAGTTTACTATTTTCGGTGATTTCGGGGTTTATACAACGGGATAAGTGATAATTTCATGAATGATATAATATATACTACTAGTGATGATTTCGTGAATAATATAATATATACTATTAGGAATTGGTGTATCTAAATTAGTGAATCTTCAGAACCGTAAGAGAGTAGGTAAATAATAGATTGTTCTCATGAATATGTTTGTTAATATGAATGATTTGGTAGGCCTTATTTCATTTTATTTTATCATTATTCTTCTTATTAGTATTATTTTCTTGCCAGCAGCGCGAGGTTTCTGTGACGACGTTCGTACGGACCTTATTCTGGAAATGGCGGAGTTCCACTGCCTCTGAAACCTGCTTTTTTCTTTGTTCTGGTGTCAGCTTTTGGTCTGCTATCCCAAGGTGTTGTTCCCAATTATCAAGCCATTCAGTGGGAAGCAAATATATCATATGGGATGCCGGCCTCTAACCTGGTTGCACTGACTGTAAGCAATGGCCTTGGAGTGCAGTGATGATCATAGTCGTGCAAGATATGCTGGAGTTTAGGATCGTGGATCATGTTGTTGTTTTCGTTTTTACTTGAGTTATTTTGGTGTTGTTTTGATTTCAGAACGCATGTTGCTTTGTTTGTGTTTCTATTAGTTGAGAGTTGTACTTTATACAAGTCGTTTTGTTCTTGTTAATACGACGCCGTTTAGTTCTCTTTTGCATGCATATGTGTATATAAGGCCAAAACACTGCGAACGTAGACATTATGAGAAAATATGTGAAAATGGTGTCTTCTTGCCCAATTCACTTGTATTGTTTCCACATGATAATATGTTGCATTCGGATGAAGATCTGTTCCCATTTGGATAGATTCACCCTAGTGTGGTGATAGGTAGAACGTGGCCAAATCATGGTTCCGGGCCGTGTTTTTAGAAGCCCTCAATCGGCCCGATCCTATATACAGATTTCGACCTCAATCATCTGATCGAACCCATATATCCCACCAAGAAGCATGGGTTACTGAGCACTCGAAAAGATCGAAACAAGCAAATCGACCCAAAATCCAGATGTTTACGCCTTTGGAGTTCTCTTCCTCGAATTGCTGACCAGAAAAGCACCGAACCAAGACGAGGCCTTGGAGCTGCCAGGATGGGTTTAGTCAGTTGTAAGGGAGGAATGGACGGTTGAGGTTTTTTATGCCAATCTCATCAGGTATCATCAAAATGCTGAGGAAGAAATTGTCAAATTGCTTCAATTCAGGATGGTGTGCGTGACAAAGGCACCCTAGAGGCGGTCTGGAATGGATGAGATTTTTAGAATGATTGA